GCTAACAGACTCATAAGGCTAGCTGAAAGCTAACAGACTCATAAGGCTAGCTGAAAGCTAACAGACTCATAAGGCTAGCTGAAAGCTAACAGACTCATAAGGCTAGCTAAAAGCTAACAGACTCATAAGGCTAGCTGAAAGCTAACAGACTCATAAGGCTAGCTGAAAGCTAACTGTGACTTGAGGCTAGCTGAAAGCTAACTGTGACTTGAGGCTAGCTGAAAGCTAACTGTGACTTGAGGCTAGCTGAAAGCTAACAGTGTGAAAAGTAGAAAAGTTCCAGCAGCACACTGTTGAATGAGCTGAAGGTTTTTGGTAGATAAAGGGTTAAAGGAGCAGAAATAATTAGCTTGTGAAAAACCTTCAGAAAATCAAAGCAACATAAATAAATAACGCTGACTCAGCATTCAGAAGGTTAAAACCCTGAGCTCTGTCCTGGTTGTTTCAGTTCTCCCTCAGCTGTGATGTGATGTAGTAAAATCTGTGTTCTGTTCCTGCAGCACGGCACTCCTCCACTGCTGATAGCAGCTGGCTGTGGAAACATCCAGATCATCCAGGTGTTGATGAGGAAAGGTGCAGAGATCCAGGCTAATGATAAGGTAACACCTGTCTGATGTTCACCTGTCTGTTGTTCACCTGTCTGATGTTCTGCACCTGTCTGATGTTCTGCACCTGTCTGATGTTCTGCACCTGTCTGTTCTTCTTCACCTGCTTCGTTAAATTAAACCACTGAAACTGTTTGACATCATCTGTCAAACTAATGATTCTCTACAGCAAACTGGTCTGCCTCTGTTTGACTGGAAACCAGTTTATCATAAATGTTTCATCAGTTTATAACAAACTGCTGGTGTTTGATGTGAGAAGGTTCTGTGTGGATGTGAGAAGGTTCTGTGTGGATGTGAGAAGGTTCTGTGTGGATGTGTGAAGGTTCTGTGTGGATGTGTGAAGGTTCTGTGTGGATGTGAGAAGGTTCTGTGTGGATGTGTGAAGGTTCTGTGTGGATGTGTGAAGGTTCTGTGTGGATGTGTGAAGGTTCTGTGTGGATGTGAGAAGGTTCTGTGTGGATGTGAGAAGGTTCTGTGTGGATGTGAGAAGGTTCTCTGTGGATGTGTGAAGGTTCTGTGTGGATGTGAGAAGGTTCTGATGAATGTTCTCTGAAACCTTCAGACTGGAGCCAACGCTGTGTACTACGCTGCCAGGCATGGCCACGTGGACACCCTGAGGTTCCTGCAGGACAACAGATGTCCTCTGGACGTCCAGGATAAGGTCAGTCTACTTGTCCTCAGGTGGTCCTCCTCACACCTGATGCTTCAGCAGCTTGTTGATGTTGCCATGGAAACAGGACCCCCACACAGAGAGGGGCTGCGTGTGGATCATAGTCTGTGAGGTCTGAGCTGACATGTCAGAGGTCACCTGGTCCTGATGATCCTGATGATCACCTGGTCCTGGAGGTCCTGATGGTCCTGGTGGTCATGTTTGTCCTGATGATCACCTGGTCCTGATGGTCACCTGGTCCTGATGGTCACCTGGTCCTGATGGTCCTGATGGTCACCTGGTCCTGGTGGTCCTGGTGGTCACCTGGTCCTGGTGGTCACCTGGTCCTGGTGGTCCTGGTGGTCACCTGGTCCTGGTGGTCCTGATGGTCCTGATGGTCACCTGGTCCTGATGGTCACCTGGTCCTAGTGGTCACCTGGTCCTGGTGGTCCTCTGGTCCTGATGGTCCTGGTGGTCACCTGGTCCTGGTGGTCACCTGGTCCTGATGGTCCTCTGGTCCTGATGGTCCTGGTGGTCACCTGGTCCTGGTGGTCACCTGGTCCTGATGGTCCTCTGGTCCTGATGGTCCTGGTGGTCACCTGGTCCTGGTGGTCACCTGGTCCTGATGGTCCTCTGGTCTTGATGGTCACCTGGTCCTGATGGTCACCTGGTCCTGATGGTCACCTGGTCCTGGTGGTCCTCTGGTCCTGGTGGTCCTCTGGTCCTGGTGGTCCTCTGGTCCTGATGGTCACCTGGTCCTGATGGTCACCTAGTCATGATGGTCCTGGTGGTCCTGATGGTTCTGTTGGTCATGATGGTCCTGGTGGTCATGATGGTCCTGGTGGTCATGATGGTCCTGGTGGTCCCGATGGTCCTGTTGGACATGATGGTCCTGGTGGTCCCGATGGTCCCGTTGGTCATGATGGTCCTGGTGGTCCTGATGGTCCCGATGGTCCTGGTGGTCCTGATGGTCATGATGGTCCTGGTGGTCTTCATCACTCAGATGAAACTGGTCTCTGGTCTCTCCTCTGGCTTTGGCTCTGGTCCTTCCTGGCACACAGAGCCTGCTGGATTTCTGCTGAGTCAGGTCTTGGTGTCTTGTTTAAGTGCTGACTCAGGTGGTCTGAAGTCCTGCAGCCCCTCTGACTCTGTGTTCTGCTGCAGAGTGGAGAAACAGCTCTTCACGTTGCGGCTCGTTACGGGAACGTGGACGTGGTGAGCTACCTGTGCAGCATCCGAGCCAACCCGGACCTGCCGGACCGGGTGAGTCCCAGCTTCCTGTGCGGCAGCAGGAGTCAGGATCAGGGTTCTGAACCTTTGTGTTTGTGTCCAGGAGCAGGAGACCCCTCTGCACTGTGCAGCCTGGCACGGGTACTCTGCTGTGGCCCGGGCGCTGTGCCAGGCAGGGTGCCACGTGGACGCCAAGAACCGCGAGGGTGAGACCCCCCTGCTGACCGCCTCAGCTCGAGGCTTCGTGGACATCGTGGAGTGTCTGGTGGAGCATCAAGCTGACCTGGAAGCTGCAGACAAGGTGTCCTGACCTGTCCTGACCTGTCCTGTCCTGACCTGACCTGACCTGACCTGTCCTGTCTTTACTGTGGACTGTCTCTGTGTCTCAGGAGGACCACACGGCGCTCCACCTGGCGGTGCGCAGGTGTCAGGTGGACGTGGTCCACTGCCTCCTCAGACATGGCTGCCAGCTGGACCGGCAGGATCGTCATGGCAACACGCCGCTCCACATCGCCTGTAAGGATGGAAACCTGCCCGTCGTCATGGCGCTGTGTGGCACCAAGACCAGCCTGGACTTGTCCAACAAGGTGAGACGTCCTGCAGCCCAGCGTCCAGCGTCCTGCCTGGACAGTGGTGTTGATGAGAGGTTCAGATTAACTCTCAGGTAAAAACAACCTGAAACCTGTCCTGGTCCAGTTCCTGAGGGTCCACATGACCCCTGACCCCTGTCCTCTGATCTGATCAAAGACAAAATTCAGAAGAGTCCTCTGGGATTAAAGAGTCTCTCGTTTATTAAGTTTTATCTAAATAAATATTATATAAGTTATTGTTTTGTTTTTATGAAAACAGTGGAGAGATTTAACAAAATAAATGTGTTTAAATCATAAAAACATTAGAATAACAGATTACAGATGACCAACATCTACAGATTATGTCCAATAATCCAGAGGACACAATAACAAGGTCCAATAATCCAGAACAAGTCCAGTTTGATGTGGTTCTGACCCGCCTCTTGCCTCCTCAGAGTGGCAGGACCCCGCTGCACCTGGCTGCCAGCAGTGGGAGTCTGGAGGTGGTCCGTCACCTCTGCCTGGCTGGAGCCAACATCGACGCCGTCACACAGGTGAGTCCCAACTTTGACCCACAGTCTGGGGGCGGAGCTGGTTATTGATTGGTTGGTTGATTGGTTGGTTGATTGGTTGGTTGATTGGTTGGTTGGTTGGTTGGTTGGTTGGTTGGTTGATTGTTTGATTGATTGATTGGTTGGTTGGTTGATTGGTTGGTTGATTGATTGATTGATTGATTGACTGATTTATTGATTGGTTGATTGACTGATTGGTTGGTTGATTGGTTGATTGATTGGTTGGTTGGTTGGTTGGTTGATTGGTTGATTGATTGATTGGTTGGTTGATTGGTTGGTTGATTGATTGGTTGGTTTGTTGGTTGATTGATTGGTTGGTTGATTGATTGGTTGGTTGGTTGGTTGATTGGTTGGTTGGTTGGTTGGTTGGTTGATTGGTTGATTGATTTATTGATTGGTTGATTGACTGATTGATTGACTGATTGATTGACTGATTGGTTGACTGATTTATTGATTGGTTGATTGACTGATTGATTGATTGATTGATTGATCAGCAGAGAAACAAGCCTCAGCTGCAGACTGTGTAGTCTGACAGAGGCTCATCAGGTGAATGAGGATGTGGTCCGGGTCCTGTCGTCGCTGCGAGGCTGGTTTCCTCCACTGGATGCATCAGAAGTTTGTCTAAAGGAAACGTTTTGATTGATTCTTGTCTTTCAGGATGGAAAAACAGCCGAAGATCTGGCTGCAGCTCATCAACACGAGCTGATCGGGACTCTGCTGGGCAAACTGAAGAAGGTGAAGTTTGTTTTATTTTCATTTTATAAATGAATTGTTTGAGTTGAAATGTTAGTCTTTGTCTTTCTGAATCAGGAGGTTTCTAGTAGAATATAAATCAATCCAGGGTTCTATAGTTCTGTTGCTGTTGGATCAGAACCTGTAATCTGCCAGCAGGACTGGGTCTAGTTCTCCCAGTCTGACCCCAGTCATGTCATTTCAGTCTGAAACCTGCTGAGCTTCAGTTCACAGTGTGACATCCTCAGAGCAGCAACTGTGAAAACAGTCATCTGTGCATATGTGGACTAATTTAAGATCAGATCTGACAGAAAATATACCGAGTCCAACAGAACTCTAACGTCAGGCAGCTGTGTTCTCTGGAAATCAAAAGTTGATTTATTGAAGCAGCAGAAGGCGGTGGGAGTGTGGAGTGTTTTCACCTCCCACACGACGAGCACTCAGAGAGCTGGAGGCCACTTGTGACGATGAGTCATCTGTGGATGCTTTAAAGAGCTGCTCACATGTTCTGTGCTGCTGTCTGCTCACCACAAACCTTCATGTGCTTCAGATCACAGCTCCTGTTCATGTCCTTTCATTTAGTGACCCCAGGAGCTGTCAGGCCCTCTAAATGTGTCCACATTTCCATGTTAGGTCTTAAATTATATTATTATTATTATTATTGTTGTTGTTGTTGTTGTTGTTGTTGTTGTTGTTGTTGTTGTTGTTATGTTTGTTCAGTCGTTGCTTCTTCCACCAGCTGAACTGTCACTGTTTGCGTGTCCCGACTGAAGGTTCAGGAAGTTTTTCTTCAGATGAATGAATCAGAAACAAACTGATGAGTTCAGCTGTCGTCTTCTTTTAGTCTTAATAAACCAGTGAAACGAGACACATTTGTTTTTAAAGCTTCTTCTGTGGTTTTCTTTCTGTGCCTCCAGGACAACCACAAGCTGAGCTACATCCAGCAGCTCCGCCCCACTCAGACCATCCAGCCCCGGATCAAACTGAAGCTGTTTGGACACTCAGGCTCAGGGAAGAGCACGCTGCTGGAGTCTCTGAAGTGTGGCATCCTGCGCAGCTTCTTCAGGAGGAAGAGGACACGTCTGTCCAACACCAGCCGCCACCCCAACTCCCCCGTCAACTCCAAGCCTGCTGGTAGGAATCAGGGGTGTCTATCTGTCCCTATCTGTTTCCCAGTCATCTCAGATTTGTCTCCATCTCATCTCTGTGTCTCCAACTCATTTCTAATGTGTCTCAACCTCATCTCAAATGGGTCTCCACCTCATCTCTATTGTGTCTCCAATTCATCTCTAATCTGTCTCCAATTCATCTCTAATGAGTCTCCATCTCATCTCTAATGGGNAATGGGTCTCCACCTCATCTCTATTGTGTCTCCAATTCATCTCTAATCTGTCTCCAATTCATCTCTAATCTATCTCCAATTCATCTCTAATGAGTCTCCATCTCATCTGTAATGTGTCTTCAATTAATCTCTAATCTGTCTCCATCTCATCTCTAATGTGTCTCCAACTCATATCTAATGTGTCTCCACCTCATCTCTGTTTCTCCACCTCATCTCTGTGTCTCCACCTCATCTCTGTGTCTCCAGATCATCCCTAATGTGTCTCCAGCTCATCTCTAATGTGCCTCCAACTCATATCTAATGTCTTCAACTCATCTCTAATGTGTCTGCAGCTCATCTATAATCTGTCTCCAACTCATATCTAATGTTTCTCCACCTCATCTCTAATGTGTCTCCAGCTCATCTCTAATGTGTCTCCAGCTCATCTCTAATGTGTCTCCAGCTCATCTCTAATGTGTCTCCAGCTCATCTCTGATGTGCCTCCAGGTCATCTCTAATGTGTCTGCATCTCATATCTAATGTGTCTCCAGCTCATCTCTAATGTGTCTCCAGCTCATCTCTAATGTGTCTCCAGCTCATCTCTAATGTGTCTCCAACTCATCTCTAATCTGCCTCCAGCTCATCTCTAATCTCTCTCGACCTCATCTCTAATCTGTCTGCATCTTATCTCTAAGTTTCCAACTCATCTCTAATGTGTCTCCACCACATATCTAATGTATCTCAAACTCATCTCTAATCTGTCTCCATCTTATCTCTAATGTTTCCAACTAATCTCTAATGTCTCCACCTCATCTCTAATCTGTTTTCAACTCTCCTCTAATGTTTCCAACTCATCTATAATGTGTCTCCAACTCCTCTGTAATGTGTCTCCAGCTCGTCTCTAATCTGTCTCCATCTCGTCTCTAATCTGTCTCCATCTCATCTCTAATCTGTCTGCATCTCTGTGTCTCCACCTGATCTTTAATGTATCCCCACCTGATCTCTGTGTCTCCACTTTATCTCTGTCTCCAACTCATCTCTAATGTGTCTCCACCTCATCTCTAATGTGTCTCCACCTCATCTCTAATCTGTCTCCACCTCATCTCTAATCTGCCTCCAACACTTCTCCAATCATTCACACACTAATGGTGGTAAGCTACATTGTAGCCACAGCTGCCTTGGAGCAGACTGACAGTAAGGCTGCCATAAACCAGCGCCACCAGACCCTCTGACCACCACTAGAAAATTATGTTATGTTATATTATGTTATATTATGTTATATTATATTATATGATATGATATGATATGATATGATATGATATGATATGATATGATATGATATGATATGATATTATTGTTCTGGAGTTTCTGTCAGCTGTTTTATTTTTTTTTTTGATCCTGTAATCATGAAGAAAGATGATAATGAAAACAAACTGTAGGTGTGGTTCTGCTCACTGTTTGTAGTCAAACAGCACCACCTTGTGTTAGCAGGTGTGTAGCAGGGAAAACTAAAACTGCAGCAGATCATGGATGTATGGATGGATGTATGGTTGGACGGATGGATGGATGGTTGGATGGATGGATGGTTGGATGTATGGTTGGACGTATAGATGTATGGTTGGACGTATGGATGGATGGATGGATGATTGGATGTATAGATGTATGGTTGGATGTATAGATGTATGGTTGGATGTATAGATGTATGGTTGGATGTATAGATGTATGTATGGATGGATGGATGG